ACTCAACGGCTCGCACAAACAATCAGGATTTCAGCCCCGCGGCTGCATCCTGCTCCCAGCGCAGGAAACAGAGGGGATGTGACCTGCTGCGGGCGCTCCGGGTGCCAGAGAGGAAAACACTCGAGCAGCACGGGTCAAGGAACCAGTGGTGTGGCACCAGCAGCTCAAAGAAGGCAAATTGCTCGTGTCTAGATTCTAGGAAAAACGCTTAGCTTCGGGGAAAATAAATGAATTCCAAGGCGAGAGGATTATATAAACTTCAACTTTATCAAATTCCTAAATCTGAAGTTAATTAAAGGTCAATCACACTCTACAAACACAGCCTACGAGAGCATAAAAACAACCCAAACACAAAAAACGCCCCAACCTTTCCGTAAGGAAAAGCTCCCAGAGACTCAGGGCTCAGGGTTTTACAGCAGACTGGGGACAGAAAGCGTTTCCCACAATTCCCTTCCCAAACAAATACTCATCTACATTTATACATTAAAGGAAACCCCCACTCTGGAGCATCGGGGTTTGGGGTTTTTTTGGTTAATAAAAAAATCAAGCTACTTCTATTGGTAAGAGTCGCTGGTTTTTTAATGAGGTTTGAACTGGGGTGGAATAAACAAACAAACAAAATTAACCCGCTGCTTCACAAATATTTATAATCCTCTCTTCCTCCCCCTGAAAGGCAGCAAATTCACTTCCACAGCTTCAATTTCCTTCAACTCCCAGGCCAGACACTCACCAGAACCTCACAGCCCGGGATCGGCATCTGGCCGGTCGCCCCTACCTGGGTCTCCGCTCGCGTTGGACAGCGGGGCCGACACTTCGGCGAGGGCCGCGAGCGTGGCCAGGACGGACGTCGTCGAATTGGAAAACTGCACCGTAGAGACGGGCGAGTCCCCTGCTCGGGAAAGAGGAGGGCAAAGGAAAGGACGGTCAGGACCTGCCGTGCCTGAACGGCGACCAAAGCAGCCGCAACGCGACCGTTTTGTCATCTGGGGACCGAGATATCGGGCACGAAGCCTCTCCTGGGCTCCCAGGGGTCGACGGAGGGAGGGTGGTGGGACGGCTCCGTTTTCACGGGAGGCGCCTCTGCGAACCGCACCAAGGGCTTTGACAGGACTCTAGGACAGACTGTCCCCACTCCAGGTATCTCAGGGTAATTTGAATTGAATTTAAGGCAAGTGTTGAACTAAGTTTTTTCTGAATCGCGTAACAAAAAGAACAGCAAACGCGGACCCGTCGGCCCCAGCTCCGCTGCGGGAACCGCAGAGCGGCAGGCGGCC